TTTGCAAAACGTAAGTATACAAAGCATAGTCTTTAATCCCAGTTGTGACTCAGTGCGATCCAGTTTATTGATGATACGAGTTGATATTGCTACAACACAAGATATATCTCCACAAGCCAAAGAAGCTTAAAGATTTTATACGATGATAACTAGGAAATCTTCTAGTTTAATCTGCTTTAATGTAATCATAAAATAATGACAGGGAGTATGTGTGTATTGAATTTTGTTACTGTTAAATTGATGGAAGTGCAGCCTGAATGCAGTCTCTGTATATCCTGAAAGAAGAAAATAAGGTATAGCAAAAACTGCTACTGCAAAGAAGCAAATTGTGATGGCTAGCCTGGAGAAAATGTTATAAGAGCTGCATAATATGAGGAACAGAGAAACAATAAAAGAATGCATAAAGGCAAAACCTTTACAAAACGCTTCATAAAGCTGTTTTTGCTCAGTAAGATGAACAGTAATACAGCTGTACAAATACTCCTCATGTCATGATGTCTTTGAAGCATGCTACTTCTATTTCAGATCTATAAACTGGCTTGTGTGGCTACAAGCTTGCAAATTTTTCCTATCCTAGCTGCTGTATCTAGGAAGAAGTACTATCTTTTCCTAAAGATTTTGCATTGTACAATGTTTTTCAGCTTTGGGCTTGAAAGCCTAATATGTTGCCTTTGTAACAGGAAAGAATGGATTCCTACCTACCTTTCCAATACATTATTCAGAGGACAAAGAACTGTCAAAATTTGCCAGTGTTAAAATTTCTCCTAGACAAGGGTAGAAAGTGTGGAGACCAGGAAGTATAATGTTAGAATCTGTAGCCAGATGATGACATTTCTCTCTTTGTCTGCTACACCATTATGTATTGTGAAACATGAGATTCTGCTCATCATTTCACTTCCCAAATTCTAAACAGATGAAGTACAACATGCATTTGTTCTGGCTGGAAGGAAGGGCTATGCTTTGCTGTTACAACATGATTTACAGTCATAGCAGACTGACTTTTGAGTGGAAGTTGAGATAAGCAGTTTGACTCTTAGCAACAGCTGATGTGCTTCATGGAAGATACTGATTATCTTACATCCTATAACAGAGAAGGAAATATGTCCAGTTTAAAGAATCTCTCTCTCTCTTTTTTTTTTTTTTAATTAGGGCAAATCAAACTAATGTGTTGTATCCCTCTGACTTTGGTTTTAGTCATCATATTTTCAATTACTTAAATTTGCTTTACACATTAGGTAACTCATGAACAGTGGTGAGTATTCTTTCTATATTGACCTGAATAGTTACGCACGTACTGTTTCTGTCTGTTCAGGGGTTTAAAAGAGTAAATGTATTAATGGTAGTACTGAGGAGCTTCCTTTGACCGTCCCCTTGAGCCAGTGTTGCATCAAATGATATATTTGGTTGTGAAAGAAAAAATAAGAACTTCTTTCATAGGAGAGGAAATGCAACACTGACTCAAGAAATTACCGTTGATATCCTGGCTTCACTGAAGTCAATGTGACTTCTTGCTATCCACGTCACTGAGTTCAGGGTTTTACCCTTTATTTTTGGGTAGGAAACTGCTTTCTGTTAAGAAACTTTACCAGTAGTACCTGTGGCTACTATTTTACTCTTCCCCTCAGTGTCTCTCACTGATATTCTCTGTGCTGTGACAGGAAAACGTCGGGTGTGGTAACTGGGCGACTGACCTGGCACTCATCAGAGAAACTCTGCTATGCATCAGGCGTGCTTTGTAGTCATGTAAGTCACTTCTTTGGGCTCCCATCTACATGCGTCTTGAGATTCCCTGGTGACAAGTTCTGCATAGAAGCCTGGAACTGCTGTGAGGGAAATGCAAACTGGAGGGAACAGTGCCGAAATTATTCATATATTTCACTCTGTAAAGGAATACATGCTGGAGGAGAAATTGCCCTCCTGGTCTGAAAAACGCTATGCTGACCTCTGCGCGCTGGATGAAGGTAAACATGGGGCTACGTGCATGCTAAGGGAAAAAGGGTTGGCACTTTCACGCTGCTTGGCATGTTTCACTGGATGAGAGGCTAATCTTTGAACGCCGTCTAAACGTCATTTTAAATTGTGCAAGTTTTGCTGGTGCTGATGGATCCCCCTGAAGTAGCCGCGGCGGTCTCCAGGGGGAGCAGTGGGGGAGCAGCCTGCGCA